ACCTCCTCCCCCTCCTCCTCCTCCCCCACCCCAACCTCTGCCGCCACGCCTCCCTCTCCCGGCGGCGGGGGCGGCGAGGGAGCGCCGCCGCCGGCGGCGCCGCTCCCGCCGCCTCCGCCGCTCCCGCCGCCTCCGCCGCTCCCGCCGCCCCCGCCGCCCCCGCCGCCGCCAGCCGCCAGCCGCCGTGCCGCGGCGAGCGAGTGCGCGCACCCTACGGGTGATCCCTCGCCGCACCAGCGCCGCAGCTCGGCCCAGAGCGACTCGGACGCGTCCTCGCCGTCGCCTATGGGGAGATATGGGGAGATCTGGGGAGATCTGGGGAGATATGTTGTCGTGGAAGAGCTTCTCATCGCCCGCGCCCGGGGTGACGAGCCTCCGCTGCGGCGCGCCGCCCGTGAGCTGCCGCATCGCCGCGTCCGCGAACCCGGACACGAGCGCCTCGTACCCGCCATGCAGCTTCGCGAACGCCTTCTCGACGAGCGGCACCCACATCTCGTGCGGCGTCGCAGAGCGAGCGTAGAGCAGCTGGCCGTCCGCGTCGCACGGGAGCCGGTCGTCGATCGTCACCGGCCGCCACGCGCCGTCGTGGTGGAAGACGAGCGTGCACCGGCCAGCCGACGCCGGCGGATCGTCCCAGCGGCGAAAGAGGCGCGCGAGAAGCCGCGGCTGCAGTGCGACCACGGCGAGCGCGGAGAGGAACCAGCAGTCGCCAAGACGGCCCTGCACAACGTCCGACGAGCTGGACGAGTCGACAAAGAGCGCCGGTGCCGGCCACCCTGCCTCGGCGCACACCTCCGCGGGCCGCAGCCAGCGCACCGTCTCTGGCGGAGGCTGGCCCGGAGGAGGGCTGGCGGGATCGAGGTAGAGCGCCCGGGCGCCGCAGAAGTCCTCGTCGACGAAGGCGTCGGGGCCGTCGCGCAGCGCGAGGAGGGAAAGGTCGGGCGCGGCGCCGGCTGTAGCCGACGTTGGTGGTGGTGGTGGCTGATCGCTGTCGAGAAAAGAAAAAGAAATAAAGTTCATCGCACAAAATTTGGCACGCTTCGAAAACTGAGATGTGGCTTCGAGAGAGCTCGCTGAGAGCTTTTACATGGTGTGCGAGCCGTTTTCTGGCTCCTACGGGAAGGCTATTCCGACATTTCCACCCGTGCACGACAGAGCGACGGCGCAGCGTACTGCCGTCCAGCTAAAAAGCGGCGGCCGACGGTTGCTGCGCAGAGTGATCAGTTCTAATGAATGTTCCGGGGCCCGACGGATAGATGAATCCGGGGCACCCTCCGCTCGAATCCCTGGCTGGGGGTTCGAGGTGGCCCCCACCCTATGGCGTCCGAATGGCGTCACTACCTGCATGCGGTGTACGGTTCCCTTCACTCAGAGGAGTCCTTCCCCATTGACCTGCGCTGCTTCACCCACTGGTGGCACAAGCTTCTGCCCAAGAGTAAGCGGGCTCTGTTTCAAAGGCATTACCGGCCAGGAGGATTGGCCGCAGCAGTCAGGGGGTCGCTTGTAGATTACTCAGGGGTCAGTGCCAAGCACGGCGCTGTCGCATGGCAGCTCTACTTGCTCGACGACGCTGACGTGACGAGCACAATGAACGACGTTATGGGGCGCAATAAGCATGGGAGCCAGCTAACCGCAGTCCCATTTCGCACAAAAGTGGTTGAGTTTGAGCCGATTGCACTAAATCCGAGCTACAACTTGACATCTTCGTGGCAGCACAACGAACGTTTCACCATTCGCGGCCCTGTGCCAAGCCACACATGGATAGAGGTGTACCACGAGTTCAGTGACTGTGCACATGCGAATGGTAGTCGTACGCGTGATGTAGGTTGGTGGGCTCACTATGCTCCTGGCTCGGGCGTCTGGGCGAATGTTGGTACGACACTCATCACAGGGGCACGTGGATACAGAGTTGCATGCACGGCCACTGCACAGCTCACCAATCGTTCATCTGAAGCATGTGATCAGTGCTGTACTCCTGCTCATGAACTACTGTTCGTGTCTGCATCGGATTTGCAGTACACCAGCATGCAGTCGTGCTGCGGGCAGCGCGGCGGCACTGGCCATGCGACACAATATGAGATCGTCTTCTTCACACCAACGTGCGCCCAAGGGCGCATCAACACCTCGGCATGCCCACAGGAGCTGAATTTACGCTCAGGCAGGACGCGGGCCTTCTTACAAACGCAGCAACGAGATGGAGCTGCCCAGGATGCGACCACAAATGCGGCAGTGAGATTGTCTAAGCCCGCCGTGCAAAATACTGGCATGTGCAAGAACATGGGTATGTGGCGGCGATGATGAACGCGTCTCCCCAGACGGTGTTTCTTTTAGCACACGTTGGCGTGGAGGCGGTAGCGCGTCTGGCCACGCAGCCTGCGCAGCCTGCCCAGCGTGCGTGAGGCGCTCACCGTTGTCGTGCTCCAACTTGATGCCGCCAATAGTTTGAGCAGGCGCACATCGCTTCCAGGGAGGGGGGCGCGCTTCTGCACACCACACGCTAGGGGGAGGGGGGGAGGGTCCGACCTGCCCCGGAGGTGAAATTCCCTCTCTGCCCACAGCGCATGGCTCTTCCGGGAGCATCTGTCTGTGCTGCAACACCGACCGAAGCACAAGCGGCCGTCCTCGGTTTGGACCAAGAACGCGTGAACGTGTTGATTGTTGCATGAACAACCCACTCAGGGACCGAGCCACAGTTCGGCGCACAGGTCGCCACAGGTATCACGAGTGCAAGACTCAGCTAGCTACAAGTGACTGAACAGCTGCTGCTCGGATGGAGCTCGTCTCGCAAAAAAAGAAAAGAAAAAAGAAATGGGGTCCACTCCCGATCGCAGCACTCCGTGTTGGCTAGTCGAGATATTGACTTTTTTTGGCAAAGACGATCTCACGAGATCGAGAATAATGCCATGTAATCGCGCCCAAAATACTTAAGGAGCACAGTCACACTACGACTCCGAGGTCAGTACGCCCTCCTTCGCCTGCATGGTTGTACTTGTCCTGTATCTCGTAGCTCCTCGCACGTCCGCCCATCGGATGTTGTGTCCCGCAGGCGGAGTAGGCCTGTGATGCCCGTCCATGTCTCCTGCGCCTCGTGTAGCATGCCAATGTACGAGGCGCCCGTGTACGGCTGCGGCGGCTGCTCCGGCGGCTGCTGCGCGATCCCACCTGCGACAGGCAGCCAGTTGAGCCGAGGTGTAGCCAGGATGTGCTGTGCATGTCTCAAGGTATAGGGAGATCAGCGAAACTGCAGGGTATAGGGGTTGCCGAGATGAGGCCGAGATAGAGCTCACCCGCGACGGCCTGCATCCCTGTCGGCGTCTGCTGAGGCGGCAGCACGACAGGTTGTAGTTGCTGTGGCGGCAACATGCCAGGAGGGACGAAGACATGCTGCTGCGCCATCCCGGGCATGCCCAGCTGCTGAGCGACCAAGAGCTGCATCGGCAGCATGCCTGGGCGGAGGGGTGACTGGGGATGCAAGGGAGGTCGGGGAGCGAGAGAAGGCAGAGAGGGAGGCGAGAGGGAGGGAGCAAGGGCGGGGCGGGCGGGCGGGCTGGGGGGGGGGGGGGGGGGAATTGAGGGTGCGGGCCGCGTTTGCGCGTGCTGTGTGGAGATTTCAGCGTTCGCGGGCGGCGCGCCTGGCGGCATCGCGGGCGGCACCATCCGTTGCACCACCTGCGGGTGGGCGGTCTGTACCACCTGCGGGTCGGCGGTCTGTACCACCTGCGGGTCGGCGGTCTGCGAGGCAGGATGGCGCGCCACGGGCAAGGCGTGGGCCCAAGGCGGCTGCCCGTAGTGAGGGAGCGCTCGAGCAGACCCCTCCTGCGCCACCACCCCGGCCTCCGCCGCGGCCGTCGGGTAGGGAGCCCCCAGCGGCTGCAGTAGCTGCTGCTGTGGTAGCGGCACTGGCGCCAGCTGCTGTGGCGAGAGCTGCGGCGGTGCTGGCGTCGGCAGCCGAGGCCGCGGCGGCTGTGATGACTGCGGCTGTGCTGGCCGGTCTTGCGCCTGGCTGGTAGGAAGCTGCTGCGGCGGCGCAGACCGTGCGGCGGGCGGCGGCTGCGCTTGCGCTTGCGCCGTTTGAAGCGGCTGCTGGCTCGGACCACCAGTCTCAGGGGGCTGCTGTGGCTGAGGACGCTCCGCTGACTGAGGCGGTGGTTGCTGCGCCGGAAGCGACGGCGGCTGCCCCCCTGGCTGCCCCCCTGGCTGGCTCCCTGGCTGCCCCCCTGGCTGCCCCCCTGGCTGTCCCCCTGGCTGCCCCCCTGGCTGCCCCCCTGGCTGCCCCCCTGGCTGCCCCCCTGGCTGCCCCCCTGGCTGCCCCCCTGGCTGCCCCCCTGGCTGCCCCCCTGGCTGCCCCCCTGGCCGGGCGAGCCGTGCCACGCCCTCCCACCGCGCGAGGGGCACGAGGGTGCGGTTGGAGACCTTGAACTTGACGAAGAGTGCGCCGCCCTCGCCCTCGTGCAAGTACTCGTCTGGGACCGGCGCCATCGAGTCGGCGGCGGTGGAGGTCGCAATCTCGATCTCGACCTGCTTCTGCTCGCAGAAGAGGGACGGCTTGCGGGCAGGAAGGCTGTTCAGCCAGGCCGGGTGATCCTTCCTGCGCGTGAGGTGGAGGGAGGCGGGTTGGAGGGGAGGGGGGAGTGCTGGGCCCACGCCGCTGTACCTGCAGTGGGCACGCACGCCGTCCATCGACACGTAGTCCTTGCCGCACCCATTGTAGCGGCAGACGAAGCGAGAGACATAGCGCGGCGCCTACTTGCAGGTCTGAGCACAGCTGGCCCGAGCCTCACCCTCTCGGCCACCTCTCTTGGCGCGAAAACTGCCCCCATGCTCTCCGCCGCAAATGCCGAGCCCACCCCTGAACCCGTCGGCCCCACCAACGCCAACGGGGCCGCCGCTGCCGCCACCGCTCCCGCCTCCGCAGCGGCGGCAGCGGCGGCAGCTGAGGCAGCGGCGGCAGCGGCGGCAACTGAGGCAGCGCCAGCGGCGGCAGTTCCAGAGCTTGCAGGAGCGAGGATCGCCATCGGCGGGCCGATGCAGTCCTTCATGTTGGAGCGCTTGGTGTTGTTGGCTAGGCGAAAAGGGCACTTGCCGAACGCGCCCTCGCAGACGCTCCATACGCCGCTCGTCTTGGTCATGCGCAGCTTGTTGGCCGTGTCTTTGTCCAGCGTTCGGACGCGGTCGTACGGGATGGCGAGCTCAACTCGGCAGCGGCTGCACATCTACGACAGAAAAAGATAGGCGGCTGAGGCGAGGAGGGGGGTATGCAGCGTCCGCGTGCGGCGCTGTTGCCTGGCTCGCAAGATGCCCCGCTACTTGAGACGCATCGTGGGGCGTCGAGGCGTCCGCTTCCGCGCAGCGCGACCGCGTCCCCGAGAGCTCAGCGCCCCAGCACACGCGAGGCATGGCCGAGGTACGGCCGTGCGAGCCGCGCCACCGCCACCGAGCCACCGAGCTAACACCGGAATCCAACACCTGCGGCAAGGGTGGTTTGCGGCGGCTTGGGACCAACTTCAGCACTTGAGAATGACCGTCGGCAAGCTCACGTGGCTCCGGACTTGAGAATGACCGTGGCTCCGGACAACCGCTCCGCCTGGTGCAGCGGAGATAGCGAACTCCAAGACCGTGCGTCTTGCCGTGCTCAGCGACACCATGCCTGCGTGCAGCCACCTTCAGGATTTCGCGGTGTCGGAGAGCGTGCGCTACAGGCAGGTGCCGCGATGGCGTACCTCGAAACGCCTTGGGCTCGGCCAGGTTTGGGCTCAACGAGGTTTGCCTCTCGCACCCCGTCTGTTTTCCTTTCCTTTTTTCTCTACAGCACCCTCTCTTTTGCTCTCTCTTTTCCCGGGAAAACTGCGTGGAAATCGTCAAATTTTTGGCTCTGAGCCGAGCGAGTCTGAGGCTGGTTTGGGCCCAAAATCAGCCAAATTTTAGGCCAAATCGGCAAAATGCCGGGAATTTCGCGGAGAACCCGTGTATACCTGGAAATTACCCTGCGACCGCCTGGGTATTTTGTCGATTTTCTCAATTTTGCCTCAGATTTTGCCCCAGACCAGCTCTCAGACTCAGGGAAACTCGCGAGTTTCCAGAATGGAGCACCAAACACCCTCTGTTTTCCCTGGAAATTTCCGGAAACGCAAAGTGCTGGGGACCCTCTGTTTTCCTTTTTGTTTTCCGGAAAACCTCGTTGAGCCCAAGGCCGGTTCACAACACCGTGTTGAGCCGCAGCGCCGAAGGAGTTGTGAATTTCGGCGTGAATGCGACAGCGGCTCCGTCGGCTGTGTGTCTGCGAAATGTCAGCCTCCCTCGACAGCCTCTTTTCGAGCCTGAGCGTCTCGGCGGCGACAGGATCGAGTGACGAGGACTTCCTGTCTTCGCTTCCCGACGAGCTGCTCCATCACATTGTCAAGGTACTCGGCGACGCGGATGCTGCTTCCCTCCATTCGTGCTGCCAACGAGTCCGCACCGTGGTCGCGCCACTGCTGAGATCCCGAGACGAGGCCAGGCGCTGGCACGAGAACGTGCGAGCGCTGTGGGTGCTGCTTCACGACAACGGCGCCATCACCGCGCTCCCCGACGTTCTCTCAGTTCCTCACGCCACGCCGAGCCTGAACCGTTGGAACGTGATCGCTCTAAGACCAAGGGTCCTTGCATTGCTCGTGACCCGCTCCCACGCTTTGATGCTTGCCTCGCTCGTTCGGAACGGCTCGTTGTGTTGCCTGAGGGACCTCGCCTTCCCCGGCGCGAACGGCCTCGGTGGCGGCGGCGGCAGTGCGAGAGGGTCGCCGGCATGGGCCGCCGCCAGCGTGTCATCGACGGCGCTGGTCACGGCAGCGTGCCACCCCGGTGCGCTGCCGCGCCTAGAGCGGCTGGATCTCTCGCTCGAGGGCCTTGGCGACCGCTTCTGCGAAGAACTTCTCGCGTCGTGCTCCGCTGTGGCTTCGGCTTACCAGACCGCTGCCAGTGGTCGCAGTTTGGACAAGGCGCCCGTGCTCCCCTCGCTCAGCACTCTCAACATCGGGGCGGACCTCTCGGCCGCGGGCTTCTCCGCTCTCGCCATGGCGCTGGTCGGGGGCGCGCTACCCAAGCTGGACGCGCTGCGCCTGCCCGGTGGAAGTGGCGCCGCCTCCGCTCGCTCGCGGGCTCGGCGGGAGGTGGCGGCTGCGGCGGCGGATCGTGGCGCCGTGCTTGTTTTCTCCTGAGAACGCCTCCTCCTTTCGACTCGTGCATCCTCCCGAGAGGACCACCATCTCCTGCCTCGCACCGCTGCACTGAGGGTGAGCCGCGACGTCACGATGCCTCTCGGCCCGCTTCTTGGATGCCGGTCCGATGCGCGCCCCCTCTAGGAATGTGTGTGCCACGCCGGTGTGAGAACATCCCCCACGCCCGACGCGTGTTGTGGTGCGCCACCGACAGACAAAAGAAGCGCAACAAACATGATGTGTGGGCACTCAGCTCGGTGTAAAATTGCAGAGCCATATGAAATAAGCTATAGGGATGGCTGACCATTCATCACACGCATGTGTCGCGTCTTGGAGCACGTAGATCGTCATCCGCACTGATACGTTCTTCTGCACTCCCTCCCTGGCGTCGACCGTCCTGGCCCCGAGCGGGCCGGCGGTCGAACGCGGCTATTCGTGCTAGATGTAGCATTCAGCGGCGCAGGCGCGCGCGTCGCAGCCCCGCAGTCTCCCGCCAGCGAGTGGCAGACGGCGGAACGTCTTTTGCTCGAGGTTGCTGCCCAAGACAGCCAGAGCTAACACCGGATCCAACACCTGTGAGCGGCAAGGGTGTCGGAGTCTCTCTCGAGGTTCTCGAGGTGGATATCCTTTGGCCGCGTTGGGTAGCGAGGATTGGTGTAACCCGAGCCACGGAGGCGTGTTTTCTGACGGCCGACCGTCAGTGCACGGAGTTGCCCCTTCTCCGACTGCCCCGGCTAGTTCCCGAGGTCGCGCGGGTGTGACCCCTGCGTCCCCCGAGACCTAGCGCGGGTGGGTTGGAGGGGGCTCGCCCCGTTCCTTCCCATCGGGCCGCATGTGCGGCCACGCCTCGCAGATTCGTTTCTCGCGCCTGGGTCAGGCGCGCGGGGCATCCCCCGGGTCGCTCGACCAGCGATCCGAAGAGTGGCCGCTATGCGAGGGAAAGAGCGGGGCCCACGGGGTACGCCTCCGTCTGGCCCCCTCCGAGGGGGGAAGGGAATTGTGGGGTCCCCACGGGCGCCTCAGTTCGGCCCTCCCGAGGGGGGGGAGGGGAGCAAGGGGGTGGGGGGGTCGGGGTGGTGGGGAGGGGTCTCGGTTTCATGTGGCTAATACTTGCCCTTTCGGGGAGGGGCCTCGGCCTGGCGAGTCCAGCTCAACCTGACTTCTTCCCCCCCTCCCCAGAGGCAGCGAGTAGGCAGCGAGAGGAGGTCTCGAGCGCCTATATGAAGGTATGTGAGATGGCGATGGGAATGGGTGGTTGGACGGGCGGGCGGGCGGGCGGGCGGGCGGGCAGGCGGGTGGGCGGGCGGGCAGGCGGGGCGGGGCGGGCGGGCGGGGTGATCGGAGAAATCGTATCCACAATCAGCAGCAGTGGAGCAGCAACAGCAGGTTACATAAGGTGTCGGAGTACACTGTCACCGACGAGCGCGTTGGGAGTATTCACGCCGCACAGACGGCCACACGCACACGAGCTGCGGTCGTGTGGCCGTCATAGCGGCGAGGCGCGGGACCGTCGCCGCCGCGCCGCCGCTCGAGCCCGACGCCGCGCGCGCGTTCGTTGGGCGGCCGGGCGAGGCGTGGCGGCTGGTCCTCTGCCTCGACTTGCTCGCGAGCGCACCAGGGGTGGCTCCGTCTGTGGGCGCGCACGTCTTCTGCGGGAACGGCGGTCTTTGCCCCCGTGCTGGGGTAGGCCACATTGTGGCGTTGTCTCCGTTTCCGCGCGCTTGGCACGTTGCATGACCACAATGCGGGACTGCGTTGCGGCGCTTCGGCGCCCCGCGCGCGCGTTCGGACCATCTTCGGAACGCGGCGGGGAGATGCAAAGAGCTCAGAGGGTGGTCAGTGAACCCCCCCCCGCTCTCCAATAAAAAAAATGTTCCAGTCTTAGCCAGCAAAAGGGAGCACACACGACTTAGCAAGTCCGCACTAGCGACTGCCACTCGCCTAACCATGCCTCGTCACAAGTGCTCTCCCAATCGCGTACAGGCACACACACTCCGCCTGTTCTCACCCAAACACTCTATCACACCCTTGCCTCCCTGCCAGAGCGAGCTAGATTCTCCCCGCCTCCCTCCCGCCTCTGCCGCGCGCCTTCTATGGACGTCAAGTGCAGCACCTATGGGGGAGGCCCCCCCGCTCTCCAATTAAGCCTCCCTACTTTCATTTTTGTGTGTCGTCGATCTTGGAATTGTGAAATTGGAGACGACTCTCGCAGTGACTTCAGACTTGGATCTCTCCGATGCCCGCGCCCCGGCGGCGGGGGCTGTGACTCTGAGGCAACTGACAGTGCCTATCAGAGAGTGCCCAACAGTCCGACAGATCACCTACCTGACAGCACCTGACAGCCTGACAGCCAGGGCTCAGGGTGGGGCGGTTGTGGGGGCTACGGAGATATTAGTCAGAGTACAGCAGGCGGCGAGTGCAGCTTGTCCGAAGAAGGTCGCACGCGGCCTGCCCTACTGACGCCGTGGTGGGTAGGTTGAGCGACCTTGACACCTTGTTAAGGCCTCCCAGAAGCCGCACACCCACCTTGCGACTGAGGCTTTCGAGGGACGCGAGAGCGTGCCGCTTGTCGTCCTCGGACTGGCCCCGCACACGGTCGGCTATCCGGCACGCGAGCGCCGGCGCGCACGTTCGCCACTCGTCGTACATCCGACAATGTTCCTGCCGATAACGTGTCTCAGTCATCAAGACGCCAAACAAAGCGAGCGCCGGCTCACAGAGCGGTATCCGCAGGAGGACGTCGTTGGCCAGAAGGCGCCAGCTGGTGGCAGCCTCCTCGCCCACAGCCATCAGCCAGCCCAGCAGCCCGACAAGGTCCTCGAACATAGCTTCTCCAAGTTCTCGCAAGATGTTCGGGCGCCAGCTGGTGACATGCACTGAGCAGCGGCGGAGGAGCTTACGAGGCTCGCACAGCAGCATCACGAAGGCTGCCTTCTTATCCGCTTCGGGCGGCAGCCGCCCCTGCACGCCGAACGCCGACAGCAGCTCCTGCCAAACGTTGCTCGTCCTATCAATTCCATCGACTGCATCGCGCCACAACTTGCAGACGCGGCGGAGCGCAAAGAGGAGAGTGGGAGAGGCCGACACGCGCGCCACGACGGGGAGAATGTCCACATCGATGACGTCCAGAGCGAGCAGAGGCTCACGAACTTCGGGCTCGGTAGACATATGATGAAAGCAGAGGAAGAATTCAATAACAGAGTCCCCCCCATAACACGTATTTTCTGAGCTTAGTTATGAAACAAACGCAACGAGCATGGCGTATCGCTCTCGGGCCCACACCTGTGTGGTGGCGGCGTGCCGTCCTCCATCCCTCCCTTGGGTTGGGCATTTTCTTTCTTTTTTCTCTCGGGCCCACAGACATCCCGCACACCCGCCCGCCGCCCCCGCGCGCGCCCCACCCCGGCCGGGAGAAAGGGGAGTGACAGTTTTGGGCGGAAAGTAGAGTATCTCGCACTCCATGTGCGAGAACGCAGAGAGAAATGAAAGCCGTCCGGCTCACAAGTCCGGCTCACGCGCCCCGAGCTCACCGTCTACCGCACTGAACACTTGCGCCCCCTTGGTCCCAACCCATCCACCTCGCCTCGGGCCGCGCCGCGCGATCTCGGGCGATCTCGGGGCCGCGCCGCGCTATCTCGGGCGATCTCGGAGCGTCGCTCGCGCGGCGGCACACCTGCTCAAAAAAGCAAGGAGGTTGGAGGGTGCCAAAGCTGCAGCTGCGGCCGCACCACCCGGCGAGGCCATCCTCGCGCGCACGGACGCTACAGGCGCGGGCGCGGGGGTGGAGGGTGCGTATGAGGCGGAGATGATGGAGGCGCTCGCCGCGTGCGGCGATTGAGCGCCTCCCTCTCTACTCCGGCTGCGCGCCTGACCGGTGCAGCCTCCGAGTCGGCGTCTAGCGCGCGCGATAAGGTTTTTGCTCGCCTTCCCTGGGACTCCGTGTTGCGTGACTGTCTCTGTGCGATTTCGGGCCCGGGGCTGTGCGTTTATGTGAACTGGACACCGTGGCAGTCTCTTGACCCGCCATAAAAACGGTATGGTGTTGGAGTGCTCTCTGCTGCCGCGGCGCCCCTGTCGGTGCGGAGGCGCCCGGCAGCCGCACGCTTGGTGCCCACGCCGACCGGCTGCTCTCGCGGCGCCGAGGCGTACCGCTCCGGTCACGTCTCGCGCAGAGTTGCGGTTTTTAAAAATGGACTCGGGGTCACGAGACGCGGCACAAACGGAGCACGCCAGGCTACAAACACGGGGAGGCACGTAGTGACGCCTTGCGGTTTTTTTATAATTTTTTTCTGTTGCCGCCTCGCAGAAACAATTGTTTTTCGCCAGACCTGGACGAGTTCCCGCCAGGAATCCGAGGCCGTTGCGGCTCCGCGATCCCGCCAAGGATGGACGAGGACGATTTCCCCGACGAGGACGACATGATAGAAGACGCCATGGCCGACGACGACGAGGCCATGGCAGCCGAGTTTGAGGAGGAGTACGGCATTCCGTCGCTCGCTCCTCTGGCCGCTCCGGCGGCGGGGCTGACTGCGGGCGGCGGCGGCGCTGACGGCAGCAGCGGTGGGGTTGACGGCACCGTCGGTGGCGCGAGTGCCTGCGGCGAGGCGGCCGGCGACGAGGCGGCGGCCGACGACGAGGCGGACGTCATGGAAGAGGACGAGGGCAGCGCCGAGGCGGAGGTGCGTGCTGTCTACACCGTCCCGGCGGAGCACGGCGGCGTGCAAGTGCGGCAGCTCGCGAGGCCTGCGGCGCGCAAGCCGCTCCCCACGCCGACGACCGGAGGGTGCCTTCGCACCAGCGCCCGCCCCGGCGTCCTCTCCGCCCCCTCTCCCGAACGCCCTTCCTTCTCGCGCCCGGCGGGTCGCTCGCCCCCCCACCGCCCAACTCCTCCCGCCGCCGCCGCCCCGCCCGTCAGGCTGCTGTCCGCCCCCATCGGAGCCCTGCTCGACGCGGCCCTCCGCGAGGAGCGGCAGCCGCCCCCCGCGCCGCCGCCGCCGCCGCCCTCTGCCGCCGCCGCAGGCAGCGCCAGCCTCTGGGTGGACAAGCACTCGCCGCGCGGCTTTGGCGAGCTGCTCTCGGACGAGCGGCTCAACCGGCAAGTGCTGCGGTGGGTCAAGCAGTGGGACGGGCACGTCTTCGGCAGAGGGGCCGCCACGTCCGCCTCGCGCTCCGCCAGCCGCGCCGCGCCGCCCGAGCGGCCGCTGCCGATGCTGCCGATGGTTCCGGCCGGCATGATCCGCGAAGACTGACTCGTCGACAATGAGTCTTAGGCCGCTGCTGCTGCTGAGTGGCCCGCCCGGCATGGGCAAGACGGCGCTGGTGCACGTCGTCGCGAGGCACGCCGGCTACCGCCTCCTCGAGATCAACGCGAGCGACGACCGGTCAGCAAAGGCAGCGCGTGGTCAACGGAGCGGGGCGCAGCTGTGAACGGCGTCTCTTCACACCTGCGTGCTGTGAACAGGTCCTCCGGCAGCGCGTGGTCGATGCGAGCGAGGTGCAGCCCGTCTTTGGCTCGCGCAAGCCTGCCCTCATCGTCCTCGACGAGATCGACGGCGCCATGGGCGGCGCTGAGGGCACCGGCGCCATCTCGGAGCTCATCCGCTTGGCCACAGGAGGAGGCGGAGGCGGAGGCGGCGGCGGAGGCGGCGGCGGCGGCGGAGGCGGCGGCGGAGGCGGCGAGGGCGGCGGCGGCGCGGGAGAGGGTGGCGGCGGTGGCGGCGGCGGCGGCTGGAAGGGGCTGCACCGGCCTGTGGTTTGTATCTGCAACGACCTGTACGCGCCGGCGCTGCGGCCGCTGCGAGAGTTTGCGGACCTCGTGCACTTCCACAGCGGGCCGAACGCCGCCCTCTCCTCCCGCCTCAGAGGGATCTGC